GGTTATTTTACTGAAAAAAATATTGGAGGACTAGAATTGGATAGAGTGAAGACAGCGGTGACTTTCAATGACTCCAGCTGCAAAGGGGAGCAGAGAAATGAGGCAGTAGCTGGAGGGAGAAGTGAGACCAAGAGAAACTGCTTTACTACGAGAATTGTTACAGCACGTGCGTCTGTGCTGATGGGAGCAGATTTTCTGCATCGTCTTTCTTCCCTGCCTTGGCTCATTCTGTCCCCAGCTCCCTCAAATCCTTCAGGGCTCAGCTCAGGTGTCCTTTCTTCTCTAAAGCCTCCCCAGCTTCCCTGAGTCACACACCGAAAGGACTCTCTTTTCCCCTCCTAACCCCTCATTTCCACAGCACCTCTTCAAGGGTACCTACAATTTCCTTCTTACAATTATTTGAGTTCAAGGTCCTTGAGAACCTCCCCATATCGTGCCAATCTCTGTATCCACACCTTCCCCACTGCTCATTTGCCACTCAGGAATCCACCTGGAACTGCCTGGTGAGTGTTTGTTGAGTGAATAAGTAAATTTCCGGGAGTCAGATTTGTTTAGGTTGGTCCAGGGACCTAGAAACAGCTATTGTATAAGTAGTGTGTCTCAAACTCTTCCCTTGAAATAGCCCTAGTAAAGTAGGGTGGTCTGGGCAAATAACTTGAAACCACTGGAAATTTCCTTGAAGTCACATATTTTCTCTGAGAATTCCCCCAAATTTTATAACTTATGCTGATATAGCCCCGGGTTTATCTTATTTCCCCAAAATGCTGTAATTTACTTACCATTTGTTATTTAATTTTCTCCCAAAAGTCTTGAAATAAAACTTAAGCTTCAGGGGTGCCTGGGTGGCTCAGTCGTTAAGTGTCTGCCCTTGGCTCAGGTCATGATCCCAGGGTCCTGGGATAGAGCCCTGCATCCGGCTCCCTGCTCCGCGGGAAGCCTGCTTCTCCCTCTCCCACTCCCCCTGCTTGTGTTCCCTCTCTCGCTGGGTCTCTCCCTGTCAAATAAATAAATAAATAATCTCAAAACAACAACAACAACAACAAGAACTTAAGCTTCAGAAAAGGGCCCACCATAGTAGCATGTGCCTCTTCGTTTGAGCATTTGATAAAGGATTTGACCTTGAAGTAGTTGCTTTACAAGATCGTAAGGAATTTGTTAGCCTGCAGGATATTATGACAGTCTTCTGCCTCTGGTGGGTGGCATGTTTTCATTATAGGAGAGAATATATGGAGCATTTATATCTACTTAATTTGCAAGAGGCAATATTTTCAAGTTAGGTAGCATATAGCTTGGTGATTAACAAAACAAAACAAAAACAGCCTTCTGAGTCATGCAGACCTGGCTTGGAATCTGGGTTCTATTGCTTGTTCATTCTGATTTTATACAAATTAACCTCTCTAAGCTTTAGTTTTCCCACCTATCACACAGAGACGGCAAGAATAATGTTACCTGCTTCACTGGGTTATTGGGGGTGTTGAGCAAACTATTGCTTGTATAGCCCTTGGCACTGTGACTGGTACACAGTAAGTGCTCAGTAAATAAATACGTGGGCCAGATAACCCAGATCAGCAAGCAGGTGATTACAGAGCACAGTGAGAAGTGCTGTAGCAGGGCGTACCAGGTCCTGTGGGAATCCCTAGAGGGACATTGGGGAAGGCTTCCTGAAGCAAGTGACATTGAATTTGGGCAGCTGAAAGGAGGTCGGGGGGTATTACAGGCAGCAGGCAGTAGAGTGAGGGGGCTCAGATGATGTCAGGAATAGGGGGGTGGGGTGAGAGATAAGGCTGTAAAGGGCAGGAGCAACAAGATCGTGCAGGACCAGCTAGCCATGGAAAAAAGTTCATCTTTCACCCAGAGAGCAATGCGGACCATTGGAGAGCCCTAAGCAGGGCAGTATCCGTTCAGACATGCAAGATTGGGGGCAGGAGGTGAGAGGTGGCTTGGCCTGGACTGGGGTTGGCCTGGAGAAGGAGAAAGTAGCCATATTGGTGAGACATTAGGAGACAGTGATAAGACAGGATTGAGTGGAAGTTGGTGGAAGGAGATGGAGAGGATGACCCCGAGGGGGTACAATGTAGGTGGTGCCTTTCACAAGACAGGGGCAGAGAAGGAGCCAGAGCCGGGGGCAGGGTACAAGATGATGAGTTCAGTTTTAGACAATGTAGAGTTTGACAGGTCTGTCTGGGAGATAAGCATCTGAAACCATCCCATGGGCCTTTGGATACGTAGATCTTAAACTAGAAAAGGGTCTGAGCTGGAGCTAGAGCCTTGGAAGATGTGGCGGACCTCAGTGACGGTCCCCAAAGATATGAAGGTCCTAATCCCTGGAACCTATAAATATTATCTCATATACCAAAAGGAATTTTGCAGATGTGATTAATTTGAGGATCCTGAGGTAGGGAAATTATCGTGGATTATCTGGGTGGATCCTAAATGTAATCACAAATGTGCTTATAAAATGGAGACTGAGGGAGATTTGACTGCAGAAATGAAAGCAGTATGATATGACACAGAAGCAAGATGCCCTTGAAGATGGAGGAAGTTGACTATAAGCCAAAGAATGTGAGAAATGTAATTCTAGAAGCTGGGAAAGGTAAGGAAATGGATGCCCACCTACTGTCTCCAGAGGGAGTGCAGCCTTGCTGGTACTCTGATTTCCATGCAGTGAAACTCATTTCAGACTTCTGACCTCCAGAACTGTAAGAGAATAAAGTGCATTGTTTGCAGCCACCAAGTTTGCAATAATTTGTTACAACCCCAGTAGGAAACTAAAACAGAAATCATCAACATTAATGGTGTGAAGGAAGCTGGTGGGGATGGATGAAAGTGTCCAGAAAGCCTGGGTGGAGTGAGACGAGTAAAGGGTCTAGCAGAGAGCTCCCAATGGTTCGCTGGAACAGGCAGAGGAAGACCATCTGAGAAAGGGCCCTGAGGAGCAGCCAGAGAGGGAGGAAGACCCCCAAGGAAAGTAACTGTCTCAGAATTCAAAGGAAAGAGTGTTTCAAGAAGGAAGGAGTGGTTAACAGTGCAAAATGCTCCTAGAAGTCAAGCAAGAAAAGTGCCTGTTGCCTTTTAAGAGAGAGATCCTCGTTGACCTTGAAATAACTCTGGAGGGGTTCCTGCTGAAAACAAACTGGAGTGAGTTGAAGGGTGACTGAGTTGTATTTCACAGCATATTTGTCCTATCTCCTCTATCAGACTGTACACAATTTTTCAACTTTCAATTCAATTACACAAGTAGTACATGCTCCTTACACAGAAGTTAGGATATACAAATTAGCCAAAAGAAAAAAATTACTCGTAATGTCCTCAGCAGGTAATATCTTAGTGTGTATTTTTTTAGTGTTTTTTTCCTATGTAAAGTATATAATACTCTCAATCACCTTATGAAGTAAAATACTGTTAGGCCACTTTAAGAGTGGAAAATTTAGGTTTGGAGGTAGTTAAGCCTGGGACTCTTGATTTTGCCTCAGGTCAGGATCTCAGGGTTGTGAGGTCAGCCCCTTTGGGCGTGGAGTGTGTTTAAGATTCTCTCTCTCCCTCTGCCCCTCCCCCTGCCTCTCTCTCCCACTCAAAAAATAAAAAGAGAGAGAGAGAGAGAAAGAAAATTGAAGTTTAGCAAAACAAGCAATTTACTCAGCTGCACACAGCTGGTTAACAGCAGCCACCAGGATTAGAACTCAGATCTATCAAATTCCAAAGTCAATATTCTTCATCGCAGTGCTTCCCTGATTTTTTTATTTTTATTTTTTTTACCTGAAGAAATCCTTTCCATAGGACTTAAGGCTCCAGAACAAAACCTAAATGGATTTCTATCCTGAACCCCGTTCCTCATCCACCCAAGATATAGGTGGTTCCCAAGAGGCAAGGGTTAATAGTGGGGAAGAGTGGCAGTCTTCAGCCGGGTGGACGGTGAGCAGGGTTGAGGAGTGAAAGGCACCATACTGAGCCCAAGAAGAATGAGGGCACGGTGAGAGGGTCCGCAAAGGGCGAGCGGGTTTCTCAGCGCTTATTCGCTACACGCACGTGTTAGGTTTTTTCCTCGCAACATCACAATTTAGCGGGCAGCAGAATTCGCACTTTGCAGAGAAGGACACTGAGGTTCCAAGAAGGAACGTACTTTCCCCCAGATCACACAACTACCCAAGGGCACTGAGCCACACAGACCCCGCAGGGGGCCGAAGCCAAAGGGGCGGGTGGGCGGCTCTGGCCGAGCGCAGAGCGGAGGCCGAGAGCTGGGTGTGAGGAGCAAGGGAGTGGTGCAACTGGGAGCGGAGAGGGGGGCCGAGACCAGGTGGGCTTGCTGGAGAGATGGGGGCCGGAGTCGGGGTGAGGCTGAAGGCGCGAGGTCACGGGGGCTGGGAAGGAATCCGTAAGAGAAAACACAAAGCCCGTGCAGGAGGGGCGCGGAGGTGGGGCACCCGGGCGGTGGGAGGGAAACAAACTTGGGAGGCCCAGGAGAGGGATGAAAGGGGGCGTGGCCGTGGAGGTGCCAAGAGGGAGAAGCGGCCGAGAAGCTTCCAGGGAGGCCGGGTCGGTGCAGAGACAGGACAGAGCTCTCAGGGGCTGGGCGGGCTGGGGGCGGGGGCTGAGGAGCCCGGCGAGAGGCGGAGCTCTCGGGCTGGGCGGGCTGGGGGCGGAGCCGAGGAGCCCAGTGAGGGGCGGAGCTCCGGGCTCGGAGGCCTGATGGCGGGGCCGAGGAGCCCGGCGAAGGGCCGGGGGCGGGGCAGTGACTCAGGGGCGGAGTTCTCGGGCTGGAAGGCCTGGAGGTGGGGCTGGGGAGCCGGGCGCGGGGCCTGGGCCGGGCTGTCCAGGCTAAGGTGGTGGTTGGAAGAGGGGGCGGAGAGGCTGGAAGGCCAGGGGCGGGGCGGCGTGGAGGGGGCGGGGCGTGCGGAGGCCCCGACGGTGCTCGGCGGGCTGTGAGGCCGGCCCAGCTTCGTGCAGCGAGCGCCCCCCGTTCCCCGCTCCGGCAGTCCCGGCGCCCCTGCCCCGCGCCCGCCATGCCCGAGCAGCTCAGCGTCGCCGAGTTCCTGGCCGTCACAGCGGAGGACCTCAGCTCCCCGGCCGGGGCCGCCGCCTTTGCCGCCAAGATGCCCCGGTGCCGCGGGGCGGCCCTGGCGCGGGAGGAGGTGAGGAGGCCGAGGCGGGAGGGGTCGGGGGTCCCGGCAGGGCCTCTCCTTGACCTTTCCGGGCGTGACCGGAGTTGCGATGGCCCTTACCGCGCCCCAGAAACCTGACCCCTCTGTAGATCTGTGAGAACCGAGTGCATCTCAAACATTGGCGTCCTCACTGTCGAGTCCCGGGGAGGGCCCGAGGGACTTTTTGTGCGGGGGTCTTGAGGTCATCTCGATGACGGACTTCACAGGTCGGGGTCATAACCCCAGTGCTCTTGTTGACCTGACCCGTCGCATGCGTGTTTGTTCAGCGCCTCACTGCATCTGTTTGGGTTTTCATCTTCGGAGCCCCACGAGTTTGCTCCCCAAGTCACTCCCCTCCTGGAAAACAGGCCTTCCCGCCTCAGTCCTGAACTTCACTTCTCCCCGGCTGCAGGGAGGCCCCCCTCCCCCTGGCTGCTGGTTCCGAGCTTTGGCCGGCGCTTGTGGAATGAATGCTAATGAGAAGGCGCCAGGAGCCGGGGTTCACCTTGGCCAGGCTGTTGGCAAGTTTGTCGTCTCCCCTCCCCTCCCTTTTCTCTTTGTCTTTCCCAGCAACGCGTCCCAGGCCTTTTCTTTCGCCCTTGCAGGCTGCCCCACCCCATTCCCGTCTGTGTTGGAGTCCATTCCTCTTCTCCCGACCTGCTGCACTCTGCCGGGCCTCCTCTGCGGGGACTGTTCTAGGGCAGACACCCTGTGGCTTTGGGCCAAGGGAGAATAATGTGGTTGTGCATCCCCTTTTCAGAGGATGCCCCGAATTGGGTGGCATTTTGGACTTCAGCAGGAACTCTCATCTTACATCCTTCACCATAAGAGTATTGAGCGCCTACTGTGTGGCACATACAAAGCTCAATAGTTCATAATACCCTGGGCCAGTGTCTTGAGGAGTATCTCCTTCTCCGCCTCTCCCTGGCAGGCTGAACCCCCATCCCAGAGTCTGTGTGCATCTCTCTCTAGGGGTGATAGAGGATTGTGGAAAGAGCACTGACTTTGCTAGAGGCAGAGCTGTGTTCAAATTCTGGCCCTGCAGTTTGCCAGCTCTGTGTGCTTGGGTATGTGACCTGATCTGTCTGAGCCTCACTTTTGGCATCTATAAAATGGGATAATAATGTTTACCTCACAGGCTATGGTATTATATGAGTCAGTGAGTGTAAAGCATGCATTTTGATAAATGGGATGATTATTAGGTTAATTGATGGACCTTTTTAGACAGTGACTGGGTCTCTTGTGTCCTCATTTCTCTCACAGAGCCTAGCCTAGGGCATTGCACATAGTAGGGTTACAGGCTTTCATTAAAATAAGAAGCAGCCGATGACCTTTAGGCTTCTTTCCTCAGGCAGAACTAGTAACTTGGAATCCACCGCCTATGAGTGTGGATTCTGTGTTTCTGGGAGGTTCGCAGGGAAACTGCCATCCTGACGGGAGGGTGCTTCCTGAGGGTTGTCTTCATAACCTCACATTTCGTGACCTGGAAGAGTTCAGTGCCACTGGCATCCTTAGGCCTTTCACAGTTCACCCTCCTCTCTGGGTTGTTCATTAAAATGTTAAATCAGAGCAGGAGTAGGAGAAGGGACTGGACTATGAACCTTTCTCCAGGGACAGAAATGCCCATTTGTGCCTCTGCATCTGGCCTTGCCCGGCTGGTGTGTGTTAGCACTTGTGTGTGCTGGGGAACGAGCGGAGGGGGTGGGGGGGAGTAGCAGGGGGAGCCCTTGGAACGGGTCTGGAGGCTGTCAGTAGACTCTGGTCAGGGCTCAGCTTTGCCCCAGTTCAGGCCAGACAAAAATCCGGTCTCTTTGCCTTCAGGACTTTGGTTTGGTGCATGCGAGTGAGGGTTTGTTTTTACAGCAGAAAGCCTGTGGCACCCAAACACAGCTTTTCTCTTCAGCATTTCAGTGTCCGAAAAGTTAGAATCTGACCTTTGGATTGGACTTTCCTGAGGTTTCCTGTTTGATTTTGCATTCATGTTTCTATTTACGTGCAGTTTGATGCGGGCATCCGCCCACCCCCTACTCCCCAGGTCCCCCACTCCACCCCTACCCCCATTCTGGGCATGACTAACCCACCCCCAGGCTTGAAGCTCCATTTGGCTGAATTAAAAGACAACAGATTCTTAAAGCAAGTCTTCCAGTCCCCACTGGTTTCCTGGGAGTAACTAGAGACTCTGTCCTGGGACTTGCAGCCCTTTTTTGCAGTCCTACTAGGAAGGACCCTGGGCAGGTGAAAACTAGAATGTCAGCATTGAGCAACCGTTTAAGATAGAGATCACCTAGGAACTCTCATTTAAGTTGGAGAAACTGATGTCCAGAGAGTACAAGAGACTTGTCCAAGCTCCTACCTCTGGGTAATAGAGGAATTGGCATTGCCACCCAAATATTCTAACCCCTGGTCCTATTCTGTTTCCTTCTAAAGTGCAAATGCCTGTTCTCCCTATGTAACTTCTCTGAACGTCAGTTACTCCACCCTTAAAATGGGTCTAATAATCCCCTCCTTGCTTTCCTGTCTAGGTTGTGAAAGTTTTTTGTTTTTAATTGTGAAACACTATACAAATGTGAGGGAATATTAAGACAAATAATCATTCTGTCAACCACCTCTTTCCTGTTCTGGGCCCCTTTCCAGTCATCATTTTACTGGTATTCACAAGAACACAGGTGAAAATGGGCCCAAGAAGGTTAAGGCAGCCACCTAGTGTGCCATAGTGGGTCTGTTTGACTCTAAATGTATTCTCTGTCCAGTTCTCCATGCCATCTCGGGCTAAGCACCAAGGACACAGAGATGCTGCTCTGGTTTGCTGGCTGGTTGGGGAGATGTGGCCTATCTTAGGGAGATAAGTAGGAATCCCAGGAGTCTGTCCTGAGTGCCTAGAGAAAAGTACAGAAAGGTGCCATAAGAGGCCAGTGGGGTGGGGGAGTGAGAGAATAGTGAGGCCTGGTGCAGTCAGGGAGAGCTTCCTGGAGGAGGTGACTTCCAGATGGGTCTTGAAAAATGGAAGAACTCCATTATTCAGTGGAGAGGGTAAGTGAGTGAATTTGGAGACTGGTGGGAAGAGGGCATATTCGGTAACCAAGTAAGCCATTTTGACCAGTGCTGAGAATTCATGCTGTATTGTGCATCTCAAACTACTAGTGAACTTGTATCTCCTACTGGATCTTAGATAAAGCAGTCTTCCACAAATAGGAGATCTTCTGAGGCTTGTGTCTCATATATTTATTTGAAGGTTAATGAAGTTTTAATTGCACAAAGGACATGATAATTTTTTATTAAGTTTTAATTTTTAATCCCAATATAGTTAACATATAGTGTTATAAGGACATAATCATTTATAATTAAAACATATAAAAACATAAAAGAAAAGGCAAAAGTCACCTCTGATAGTGCCTCACAACCCTTATACTCTCCCCAGAGGTAATTGCAGTGGAAATGTGTGTGTTTCCCAATACATTATCGTAAGGGGGTGGTGGTTAGGAGGAATGTTTACCTCGATTAGTATCATGTCCTATATTACATAGCTCATATTTTATTGGAGTCAGATTTGTCGTTTCCTTTGTGGTTTTGCTTTTTTTTAAAATTTTTTTAAGATTTTATTTTTATTTATTATTATTATTTTTAAAGATTTTACTTATTTATTTGACAGAGAGAGACACAGCAGGAGAAGGAACACAAGCAGGGGAAGTGGGAGAGGGAGAAGCAGGCTTCCCGCCTAGCAGGGAGCCCGATGTGGGGCTCGATCCCAGGACCCTGGGATCAAGACCTGAGCCGAAGGCAGACGCTTAACGACTGAGCCACCCAGGCGCCCCAGATTTTATTTTTTGACAGAGAGAGAGACAGTGAGAGAGGGAACACAAGCAGGGGGAGTGAGAGAGGGAGAAGCAGGCTCCCTGCTAAGCAGGGAGCCCGACACAGTGCTGGCTCCCAGGACCCTGGGATCATGACCTGAGCCGAAGGCAGACACCTATCGACTGAGCCACCCAGGTGCCCCTTGCTTTTTTTTTTTTTTTTGAATCTTGTTTTAGAAAGAATTTTGTTGCTAATATTAATACTCTTATGACTTATATTCTGCTTCATCATTTGTCTTTATTTGTTTTACAAAAAAATAATAAAAATTATGTAATCTTCGAGATTGTTTGCAAGAAACATAAGCCCTCTCAAGCTGTTTGTGTTGAAGTAAACTTGTTTTAAGGAATTAGAGGTGCCTCCTGGGACCGAGGCGTGGCAAGTAATAGTAGACCACACCAGGGCCTCACCTGAAGGCTGGGAAGTCATCAGGAACAAAGGCAGCTGCTTCATCATTCTGACTCCCTCGCCTGGGCTTCTTTCTGCACATCTGAACGGTGCTTTTGCTCACTTGTCATCACACAGGCCCCACAAGGTATCATACAATCTTCTGGGGAAGAAGGCGGCTTCAGCCCCCACATTCCCGTGACCTCACTGGTCTCGTGTCTGAAGGTAACCAAGCTGGTCTTTGTGTCCCACTTCCCGGTTCCTGGCGGAGAGGTTGATGGCCCAGCTCAGCTTCTGGATTGGTTCTAGAAAATGGGTTTCCTGTAGCTACAGAGACCTGTGCTGTGGGAGGGAACGCTTCTCAGAGAAGAGGGGCAGAGCCTGGAAAGTCCCTGCCCCCCACACATCCATGGCAATTGTGCTTCGTTTGGCACATTCTAAGATCCAGGGAGAGGCATGGTGCTCATCCTGCTTTCTGCCTACTTGGTTATCCAGGTGTAGATGGAACCCTGTTTGGAAAGCTCAGGTTTAGTGGAATTAAAAAGATGGAGAGCTAGGGGCGTCTGGGTGGCTCAGTCGGTTGGGCATCCAGCTCTTGATCTCAGCTTGGGTCTTGATCTCAGGGTTGTGAGTTCAGGCCCTGAGTTGGGCTGTGTTGGGCATAGAGCCTGCTTAAAAAAAAAAAAAAAAAAAAGATGGAGAGCTAGAGGGTGTAGCATGACATGGAAGGCTGTGACTGCCAATTCGTCACTTGG